CGGAAGCACCAAGCTAGCCACACTGCCATTCTCCAACCTCATCTTCACCACGCAGCTGTCACCGATGCCTTCGAAGCTAACCCCGTGGCCGCCGAATTCCTTTTTCAGGTAGTCAATGTTTGTTGGGAGAGATAAGCCTGAGGAAAATGGTTGGAGTGAGGAGCTTCTCTTATTGGTGGATGGGTTTATGGCGGGGAAAGGAGTGAAATTGTGAAAGAATGAAGGTGTGCTGGCCATTGAGGTCTGAGGTTTCAGGACTGAAATTTGGAGCTTGAGAGCCTTATCTTGGAGTAGTTTTTCTTGTATCTGTGAATTTTGTTTGAGGATCATGTTTTGTACTCTTCTGCAGTGATGTATGAAATTTTAGATATTTTGGATGGTCCCCTCCCTTCTTCTCTCTCTCTCTCTCTTAAGTTTGAGCATTTCTCAGATGACCCCATTTAACTTTTTAAGTGTCACTTTTAGTTTTTGGGTTCTCACAAAATACCTTTAAAACTTTCAACATTTTTCAGAAAGATCTTTAGAAGCGTGAACAACAATTTTCATTGGTGAAAATATCCCGCGTTTTCGGGATTTGTAAAGAGCTCTTGATATACCACTTCTACTCTATGTTGTAGTGGTAAACATAATTTACAGTGGCGAATAATGACATTAATGCTTCTCATACAATAAAATAGAGGCCAGCTGAATATTTTAGAGCCTTTTTTTTTCTGCAAGCATCCCATGTAAACATGTTTATAAAAGTGTACTGATACAGCAATTATTTCTACAAACAGCTCAACATCAGCATGATATCGCTCGCAAATATGATTAGGAATGAGGATATTGTTGTTAACCAACATCCTCGTATGAGTTTAAAACATTGGCAAATGACATGGGGGAAAAATAGTATAATCATGCAAGTCAGTAAGTATGCTATTGTATTGAGCCCATTTATTCAATTCAACTCATCAAATGCATATAGCTTATTCATGAGCACACCCAATCTATTACAAATGAAGAATAACTGAACTAATGCAGATAATTACAAACCAACACCCAACAAAAATCATGCTACTTGCAAGTCATCTCTCCTCTATGAACGAAAAAAAGAAACAATAAAAATAAAAATCACAAATCATGCGAGCATTATCAAACAATGAAACACAATGAATGGCCAAGGTCAAGGATGCACAAGCCTCTTGACTACAGAAGCCATGTATTGGCCTTGGTGTTCAGCAAGAGCTAGCTCAAGATCACTGGGCTCTCTAGTTCCATCTCCTGCAAAGACTCCGGCACCATATGGAGACCCCCCTCGGATGTCATCCATTCTGAACATACCGGCACCAAAGGTGTAGCCTATGGGAACAAAGAGCATTCCGTGATGAGCTAACTGGGTTATTGCAGTCCACCTGAAAAAGTAGAGGAAAAAAGATAAAGTATTAATTACACTCACATTGAGCTCATTTATGTTACATAGATTCCATAAAAAAATTACACTTTCACAGAGACGCACTCCATGACTCTGCTAAATGGACGAAAGCAATTCTGCATAAGGCAAAGATTCACTTCAAAACTTTAGTCTCTCTGGGAGAAGTTTGGAGAACTTCCTTTTGTTCCCTGAAAAACATCTTTTACTAGTTTCCATATATAACTACAAAACTTGGAGTTGGAGGGGTATTGTGTGTGTAGACAAGGTCATGTCATGAACATATCCTTATCACAATAAAATGGATTTAGCAGGGAAATTGGAGAATAGGATCGATAAAGTACCATATGCAGCAGTATTGAGTACTTGAAAGGTATGAGCCTATTAAAATTTCAATTCAATACTGTAACCGTATGCTGAAAACTTGAATATTTTACTGAATATGTGCCTCTTAAGAATACATATGAACAATGAAAAAACTAATTGTAATTGTAGTAGTACCATATGTGCATTATACACTGATCACAAAGAACGTAATGATTACTATGAGTTGAGTACTATTAAGAAAATGACATGCATTTCCATTTCGAGATCTGCCATAGGAGTTTGTGAGCATTAAAAATTAGGTGGAGACTATAAAGAATTAAAGAGAGGAAAATATAACTGTATAATGCCATAACTAACCTGGACACCAGTCAATATTAGTGCATCATGCAAGCCAGTGTCCAGGGATACAGATTTCGTCCATTGTCTAGGTTATAACTACACCTCATATCAATGCAATAGCCACTGGTAAATTTATCATATTTCCTTATTATAGACTATTACTCCTATAGTATTTTTGAGGGTTTGTAGCATTGTTGCAAGAGTTTAAACTACAGGACCGATACAATAGCTTTTCCGACCAGCCAGCCAACAGCATTATTAAATTCTACATTTCTATAATTCCCTAGTCTAAAGCATCCTTCACAAAAAAAAGTGGAACCTATAACGTATGAGTTTAATGGCAAGTTTAAAGTCCAAAATTCCGTTGAAATCTTTCAGAGCCTATTCAGCATGGAGTAGTGATCCATAGCTGAAACTGATATGAAGGAAAACTTAGACAATGATGATGATCAATTAAACGAGTTTATCTAGTCTTAATTAAAATTGATTAATTTATTGACAACCTAGAATATGCAATTGCAATGGATCCTTAGCTGAAAACTGATATGAAGGAAAACTTAGACAATGATGATGATCAATTAAACGAGTTTATCTAGTCTTAATTAAAATTGATTAATTTATTGACAACCTAGAATATGCACTTGCAATGGATGCTTTCACTAACTAGTGGAAATAAACAGTAAGTCAGCAGTGTGTCCTAGCGAAGAACATAAAACCGTCTATATAGGGCATCATAATTTCTAAAAGAAAGAAAAGCGGTGAATGTGTCTCACAGCAAATAACTAAGGACATAGTTAGAAACATGATACTTGATGATGACGATTAACAAAATGGGTCCAATATCTCTATTGGGATTGCCAATATCATGTAACCTGACATAGGATATCAAATAAGCTAAGGGAAAGAAACAGTTTATCAGCAATATGTCCTAGTGGATGTAAAAAATCTTTACATAGCACCACAATTCTGACTAGAAAGAAGAGTAGTCTACCAATGCTAAAGGCACCTCAAATTAAATAAGACACAATTTTAGAAATGTGACTAAAACGGTACGGGACTACCTAGAAAGAGTAAAGGGCTCTTTCTTGATGTCACCTAAAAGATATAAAATACATGTAGTCCTTTTCTAGATGTATCTGTTCATTTGAGTCCGAGATTATTTAGTATACCTGTGGCTTTATCAAAAAATAATTACTGCAATATGTCCACTTAGACTTCTCTGGGAGATCCCCACAAACTTGGAAGATAGTATGAAGAAGTAACAGTTAAGATAAGAATATTTCAAACAAATCCTAGATAAATGTGAACTGTCAATGGCTGATTCAATCTTCACCTTATTACAAATGAAACCCTCCAGGAGCATAATCACTGGAGAGAAAAATATATAGTCATCCATCCATTGTTACAACCATAAAATATGACCTGAACATGATAAAAGTTTTATCCTCCATGCTTCCTTTATGATGATACGTGCAGAATCAAATTAATGAAAATTCCATTCCAGAAAGCAGCAGGGATGCAGAACACTTCAACATGATAACAAAATGTAGCATCACAATGTTGTTGAACAATGCTCTCAAAGTATTTAAACCAAGATGCTTGGACATGATTACATCATTTGCCAATCCTCATGAGCCATTGACTGTAGCAGCACTTTCCCTTTCCAACCATTGAAGCTATTGGGTAATAGGCTGAGGCACTAATCTACTGGAATACTAGAACACGAACTAGAGATTTGACAATCCCACAATAATATTGAACAACAGATGGCTGGTTATTATTTCACAAAAGCATAAGGTATATATGCTTCCCTGTGATAGAATTCCAGTTGTACGTCAATTTACACTTCCCTAAAGCTAAAAATCGAATCCGCATGCCCATTAAGGACAGATAGGTTTCATCACATAAGTGTTTAGACAAGCTCTATACCAAATTCCATACCAGATAGAACATTAGATAATTAAACAAAGTTCCTCTCCTAAATAGTTACAAGAGCCTCTCTTAAATAATTGAAAATGTTCAATGGATATGCAACCACAGTTAATCAATATGCATACAAGTTCAAAAACTAACAATAGCTAAAGGATTATATAGATCTCTATCCTCTGTTTAGAAAACACTAGATCCCACATTATGCATCATGGTTTCAGATTATGTGGGTGTTTGGAAAGACTTAAATTTTAAAGCTTATAAGTTATGCTGGCTTTTAGTGGTTTTTGGCTTTTATGATAGAAATGTTTAAAAAAATTATTTTGATAGTGCAGTAATTTGTCTGGTCAAATGAAGCTTATTTAGATGAGCTTATAAATTAGTTTTTCAAAAGCTGGGATATATCAACTTTTCAAAATGTGACTTATAAGCTAACTTATTTGATACTTTACCAAACATGTAGAAATGAAAAAGCTAGATTAAATGCTAGTTTGACCACAAAATAAGCCACCCCATACACCTTCTATATCCGATGCAGTTTCCTTTCTAACTTTTATAAGTGAAATTCATATACTCTGAAGTCTCTAATCCAACAATAGAAAAAGTTTGAACAAGCATTACAAACTAGTGTAGAGAAGAATTGCCTAAAACCTACAGGTTGTGGGTTTTCTTACGTGGCGATTGGGCACCTGATGAAAATTCACAGCAGTTTATGATATGAACATGCACAAGGCCATCAAACTGTTACAGATATCACAGCCAGTGTGGTATACCTAAGTTGTCAAGCATGACACGATATCTTTTATAGGTCTTGATGTTCTGAAGTAAACATAGAGCAAGTTTACACATCTAAAATACATGTACCATCACATGCACACCCATTCTTGGAATTCCCTCCATAACTGATTGAAAAACTCTCCTCCTATCAGCATATAGGAATAACTAATTAAGTTTTCACATGATAATTAATACAAATACTGTCGGCTGAATGAGAAAAGATTTTAAATACTTTGAAGAAAGCTGGAACCTTTCTAGTAACTCATATGAAACAAACTGTAAAAAGGGTCATCTGGCCCTCCTTATGAAACAAAAAGAACCCTCATGGTGTTGCACTATGCTCGGGCACTTCAATAATCTTTCAGGGTCAAATTATATAGCTCAATCCTTTGACGTAGAACTATCAATTTAATGCATATTAGATTCTCGATCAGAATTTCAAATGGCATATCATAGGTTCAATCAACAATCAAAGTAAACAAAACTTACGCAGTAGTCTCCTGCCCTCCACCCTGTGTCCCCGTGCTAACGAAAAACCCTGCCGGCTTACCCGCAAGCTTCTGCTCCCTCCACAACTGCCCTGTCGAATCAAAGAAACCCTTCATCTGTGCAGACATCGACCCATACCTCGTCGGAAACCCAAACAAGAACCCATCAGCTTTCTCGAGCTCCGCCACATTGGCAATAACCGGAATCCTCTCATCCTTCTCCGGCGCCTTCATCTGTTCCAAAACCTCAGGCGAGAGGGTCTCGGGGACTCGATAGAGAATTCCTTTAACACCTTCGATGGAATCGACTCCTTTCTTGATTGTTTGGGCCAGGAGCTCGACGTGTCCGTACATCGAGTAGAAGATGATGAAGATTTTGAGATTGGGTGGGGATGAAGACGTTAGGTTTTGAAAAGGGGTAGAGGATTGGGTAGTGGATTCATCCATAGAGATTGGGGCATGGTCATTGGCGCTGTTTGGGTTGCTTGATTGCTTATGAGATCGCTTCTGCTTGCTCGGAACGCAACCTCCTCCTTTCCCCATTATGAACTTTCAAAGATCTGAAAAAGATCGGATCTTTGGAAAGTTTTTATACAAAAATCAAATCTTTTCGGTCGAAATCCTTCCACGGACGGAACAAGCTCGAAATTTTGCGAGATTGAACGAGAACAAGACGGATTCGAGCCGCCCTGAAGAAAAATCACAAAATTACTATGGCTTGAGAAATGAAACTAATTAGGGTTTCTTTAAAAAAACAAAAAAGAGTTTTGAGTGTACTTTACTGACCTGAAATCGCGGCGGATGGAATGGGGAAATAAATTATTCTTTTTTTTATGGATTGCTCTCTCTCTGTCTTCGATATTCTTCTGTCCTTGTTGTCGGGTTGTGGGTTTCTAGAAGGTTGACTGGGCTCCTAATTCCAGCTCATCTTTGAATAAGATTTGAATCAGCTGTTTCGTTTAGGGGCTGTTTGGTTCGTTTCCTAAAAACCAAGAAATAGAAAGTTTTTTGGAAATGTAATATAATATTATTAGATTCCACTTCCATTCCAAAAAAACACCCACAACATCTAATAAAATATTATTTTCATCATCCAACTCATCCACAACATCTAATAAAATATTATTTTTATCCCCCAACTCATCTCATCTTATCTCATTTTTTACTTTTAAAAATAAATCAAATACAAGAAATGGGTCACATCATCCAAGTCACATCACCCCATCTCATCTCATCTTTAAAAATAACTCACATCATCCAATAAAAAATTAACAACTCATCTCCTCTCATCTCCATTTTCTCTCTCTCCACATCCTCCAAAAAAACTTGGAAATGGCTTTCCAAAAGATTGGGTGACATCAACCAATAATATAATGACAACTCATCTCATCTCATTTCTTTTCTTAATTTTAAGAAGGAACCAATCACAATAAAAGAATCTAAACAAGGAAAGTTTTTTCTTTTCCTTATTTTTTAGCCAACCAAACACAAGAAAAGAACCTCTAATAAGTTTTATTTTAAAATAACTCACATCATCCAATAATATGGTGACAACTCATCTCATCTCATTTCTTTTTCACAATAAAAAGTGAACCAAACACAAGAAATGGAAATGGTTTTAAAAAAGCGTTTCCTTTTCCTTTCATTTCCAATATTTTTAGCGAACCAAACAACCCCTAAGAGCATGGAGTTACTGTAGACGCCCGCTCAGAAGACAACACGTCATCAACGTTCTTAGAGCTTGCATGACGTTAATTAACCGTAGATTTTGGGGTCATTTGCACTTTTCTACCTAAAGGTTAGGGTACATTTGGCCACTTCACACTAATCTTATTCAGGTCCTAATTAGATTAGGATTAAATCGGGGCTACTTTTTGAACTAATAAAAATTAGTACAATCTTATATATATAAGTGTTTACCAAGCGCATTTTAAGCTCGTGATCGAGTTAGTGATATTAACCTTGAATAGCGTATGAGTTTCCTAACAGACACCTCTTTTTTTCTAATAGCTCAGGTCAGATTCGTCGGCTGTTCAGATCATCCGCGATTGGTGACTCCTGCTCTTTCTTTAAAATTTTAATATTCTAAAAGTTTTATTTTGACAATTTTGCAAAATTTAACCTGCCTTTAGCACTATGACACTTAGGGCATGTTTGGATTCGTAGGGGGTGAAGGGAAGTTAAGGGAAACTGAGTGAAGAGAAGGGAAGGGAAAGGAAGGGAAGGGAAGGGAATTCCCTTCCCCTTGGTTACACCCCAATTTGGGGGGTAACAATTTTTATACTATTAGGGGGTGAACCAAGGTGAATGGAGGTGAATTAACTTCACCTCCTAAGTGTTCCCAAACAAGGTGAATGGAGGTGAATGGTTCCCCTAACTTCCCTTCACCCTCGTTCCCCTCAATCCAAGGTGAATGGAGGTGAATGGTTCCCCTAACTTCCCTTCACCCTCGTTCCCCTCAATCCAAACAAGCCCAAAAGTTCTATTCTAAAATGTTAAGTGGCATGCAAACTTATCATTATAAACACATGGAGGCTCGCAGGAAATTTACGAACTGATGAAAATCCGTGGACGTCCAGAGGAGCCCGGCCCGGCCCATATCTAGGAATGTCCGGCCCTAGCTCGACCCAAGTTCTTGGGTAATGTGCACGCGTTGCCGAAAGAGTTCCTGCGGATCAGCAGAGCGGAGGCTCCCTCTTTCTAGCCCTTTTCCCTCCCTTTTTCTTCTCTAGGGCATCATTTTCCGCCGAAAACTCACCGGAGCGATCAATTTACCGCGACTCCATGACTCCGTTTCCCGCCATTGTCTTCCTTTATCCCGCCGATGGAGCATCTGGAGAGCGATAGCGGAGGTACGAAACTGATAATCTTAGGGTTTTGAGAATTTTTGAGTTTCTAGTTGCGATTAGGGTTTTTCGGTGCGACAACAGGGCTCGTTTTCGGTTTAGGGTTTTGATTCAGTTACGTTTTAGGGGTTTAATTCCATTTTCTGATGGTTATATGAGCTGGAAATTTGAGATGTGGTGGATTGGTGCTTGTCCAAATGCTAGATTCTCTTGGCAGGTAATTACTTACAGATCAAATCTTCTTGCGTCATCAAGTTTGCTCCTTTATCGTTATTTTGTTTCGTTTTTTAGGGTTTGAAAAGGGTTTCTCTTTCTTGGGGAAGGGTTTAGGGTATTTGTAGAGACAGTGGGGCTTGTGTTTGGTGGGACTTTGGTTTTTAGAGTCGGTGATTGTGGGAAGGGGTTTTAATTCGCTAGGGTTTGAGGTGTTAAGTTGGGGTTTAGAAACATGATGTGTTGGTGTTTGTGCAGATGATAGTATCTTTTTTTACTCCCGTTGAACAAATTCTAGTTTTGACGGGTAATTGGCATTGTGGTGAAATCTGATGATTAGGGTTTTGAAACGTTTTGAGTTCCTCTTTCCTTGGCTGTGGATTTGGCCTGTTTGGATGGAGGGTAGAGAGGGGGAAGGGAAGGGAAATTTCATTTTAACCTTGTTTGGGAGTTTTATTTTGGAGGGTAGAGGAGGGGAATGGAGGGGAAATTTGGCCCAAATTTCTGACACCCCAAATTGGGGTGTAACGGAGGGGAAGGGAAGGAAGGGGAATTTTCCCCCTTCCTTCCCCTCCTTACCTTCCCCTCCTTCCCTTCCTTACCTTCCCTAAGTAAACTCCCAAACACACCAGTCTTTGCAGGTATTATTGGTGTGACGGCCTTAGTGCCCATGGTTATGGCAAGGTTATGGCAAGGGGATTTTGTTTTTGCTGGGGTTTTGGTGTTTAATGCCATTTTGGCTGTAATATGATATTGGGCATTATATGATGACCCTATGCCTAGGCGGCCTCCTAGCTGGGGCCTAGGACGTTTTTTTGGTTTAATTGGAGGCGGATGAGATTTGTATATCATTCTTTGGATATTTAAAAAAGTCGGTTCACTGGTAAATAGTTTTAGGGAGGGCATATCATTTTCTAATATTTACAACTTTACTTGAAAATTAACTTTGTCATGTATTTCTTGTCTACTTCAATTGATACTTGTGACTTGTTAAGCATACTTTTTATGTCCCTTTTTTGTTTCTTTCTTTTTTGCATTTCTTTTCTTTGTTCATGGCTAAACCCTACGACAAAAGGGATCCTATACCAAAATTGTAAGTTCCTTACTTTCCAGCTGAATTTGTGTTGTTTCAGTAGATGTCTTTTGTTCAAACATATTGATAGAAACACCTTCCTTCTTTTACTGGTTTTTTTAAACTCTGAAGCCTAAAAATTCAGAACTCTCGGGGCTATACCTAAATAAAAGTTGGTTGGAGCAGTAATTTAGGCCATTGACACCATTTTAGAGTTTTAAATTTACAATTTATTAGTTTCATTTGGACCCAGAAGCAAATAAATCAAGTTTAAGGAAGTTGGAGATGGGCTAGAAATGCTGGTTGGTTTCATCTTTTTTCTAGATAGTAGATGCCTTGATAAACCTAGCCCAGTATTAGCTGAAACATTTTATTGTATGATGTTGTGGAATGTTGCATTGCTTTTTGCAATCTTTTGTGAAATTTTGCTTATATTCCTCCATGCACGCTGTGTGAAATTCTAAGCAGATCATGATACTGTTGGATTATGATTTCAAACTCATTCCATACTTCTCTTTGGAGTTAAATCTTCTCGCTTATACTCATTCTGTTTAATGACCTGAATGAAATCCTTTTTTGCACGCCGCATCTAAGATTAAACCATCAGCCAACTCTGACAACAATTCTAATTGGGAGAAAAAAAAATCCTATTATTGTATAGCAACAAAGTTTTAACACTATTTGAAGTTTGTCATATACCTTCAAATAGTTCCTGTATTTCTTGACATTTTTCAAAGTAATTTATCGTTGAAATTTACAAGACGTAGTTGTTTGATTTATGACGTAGTCTTCAGGATGAGATCTTGAATCACTATAAAATGGTTCGTGATCATATTCTCTTGGTTCTTGGTCATCTGTCCTAGACCTAATGGCTCTGTTTGGAGTTTGGAGTTTGGACTAAGAGATTGTTTTCATGTGAGAATTTAGATATGTTGCCTTTGTATGGAAATGCCAACCTGCCTTGATTGTGATGATGCATGAACAAATGTAATGTATGTAAGTATACATTTAGGTATGTATGCATAATGGGAATTTTTGTTGAAAACAAAAGTATCCTTTTTGTTGTAGCATGTAGACTATATTTCCTTCTGAAATTGGCAATCCTTAATTGTCATGATCTCCATGCATAAAACATGCTCTAATCAAAATTCATCTAGTAGTGAAAGTTTAGTACTCCTAGGTACTGTACTAGGATGGACCTCATACATGTGTGTGTTTCCAGATATCTCGGCCTGTAATGTCTGTTTGGCACTACTCATGGCAACAATCTACATTATCTAGGACATATATGGATAAAAAATAATGTGACGAAAGGAAAGCTTTTACTGTAAGCTAGTCTCTCTCAAGGCGGTGATAGCAGCATTGGAGGCTGTAGTGGGGATGCTAGCGGCAGCAGAAGGCAGTTATTGTTAACCTTTTCCTTTAGTAATTTCCTCTGCTCCTCTTCTCATCCCCCTCCATGCTGACACATACAACAGGCACCTACACATAAAACATGCCAGATAACTTTTTTGTTTGGGGATTATCTTTTATTGAGTCAGTTTGTCTTAGCTAATATCCTTCCTAGTTCTCTGATGTATGCAATTTTCTTTCAAGTACCCTCGCTAAGCTCCCTTTACCCAATTCCCGCTGCATTATGGCCTTGTACTGATTAATTTGCGGCATCATTTTGTATTCTGTGAGTTTTATGCAAACTCAATTCATTTCCTTTCATACTTCTTTTTCTTTGAAGAAAAGGCCCAAGCTGCGGCATTGTTTTCCTTTTTAGTTCCTATTGCCTACTAGGCTGCTAGTGATATCTTCGGACAAACTTAGTAGGATTGTTCAAGAGGGAACAGCCAACTTTCTCTAGTTTGTTATTAGGCTACTTAACAATTGGCATGCTTTGCCTTTATCGTACAATGATATTCACACATTATTCTCTTGTGTACTTAGACCATCTGACTAGATGATCTAGTTAACTCCATCTTGTTCTTATGTGTAGTTGGTAGGGCTGGCTGTACACTATTTCTAGTAACAAATGTCAATTAATTTCACCATATTCTTTTTGTCTTGCCCAATAAAAGGTACATTTTTCTTCAAGGCATACATGAATGGATCTGAATTTTTTGCTTGTTTCAAACACATATATTTGTTTCTTGGCATATTTCTTTGAGCTGCTGCCAATAGTCCTTAGGTGGTCGCTTCTCATAGTTTAAATAATTTATGCAGTTTATGTCTTGAGATTTTCCTTGTCGCCAAGCTCTCAACAGCCCTACCTCATTGCTAACCCTGTCCTTTGTGTTTTTTGTTTTGTTTTCAAAGTTTGTAAATCAGTCAATCGTGTATATATACTTCCTTTAAGCCTTATTTCTTAATGGGAGTATGCTTGAGTTATTCATAAGCAGGAACTGATGATGATCTACCAAACCAGTGACTTGTTCAGATTTCTAGGGGTATTCTATTTTCTGGAGCTTTGAGGATCATATCAAAACCGATACATCATAGAAAAGACTCTGACATGGATTTCCAAATTCATTGTATAGAGACAGAAGCGTATGGTGCTGTTTTGAGAGCCTTTATTGCTCAGTCCGAGGTCCTTACATGGGTATTTTTTCCACCTTTTTTTCTGCTATGCTTTGAATTTTTTTAATTGAAAATGCTTAGTCTTCTACACTATTATCACTAAACTTGTTTGAATTCTGATAGTTTTTTATTTATGAGGCCAACTCCATACGTGAGTGCTGATAATTTTTGAATTAATTACTGTACTTGACATTCCTTTTATCAGGTGCTAAACTTATCCCCCTTCATTTTCTTTTAGGACAAGGAAGAACTCATAACAGAGTTAAGAAAGGAACTTAGAGTTTCCGATGCTGAGCATAGAGAAATTCTTGCGAAAGTGAATCAGGATGAGTCAATCAAGTCAATAAGGTAATAATGTTCTGTCAATGGTTCGATATTTGTTTGGGATTTATTTATTTGAACAAGCTTATAGATTCTTTGAATCAGCTGGAGTGCTAAACATGGTTTTCTTTGATAAAATTATGCGAAGCAGGGAACGGCACAAGGTTACAGATGGTCAGCGATTGAGTGTCATGAACCCTTCTGCTTCTGATTCCATGTTTGTGGGTCATCTATCTCGTAAAAGGCTGAAACCTGCACAAACACATGTGACATCCTCCCCCAAATATGCACCTTCTGTTCAACCTTCACCTGTAAATTTCTTTTCTTCACCTATTAGTAAATTGTGTATTTATATGAAAGTGGGCAATCGTCTGTTATTAGTTTTATGCTGAAATTTTCATTACTAGCCTTTACCTCTTCTCAGCTTTCACAGATGTAATACCTCTTTTCAGTTTTTATCTGTAATACAACTCTTCCTTCTTCGCCTAGTAGTAAATTATGGATCTATATGAAACAGGAACAGTCTTTTTTTGCTAGTTTCGTGCTGAAATTTCTTTTACTAGCTTTTACCTCTTCAACTTTCTCATATGTGGTTATAACCTTTTCGGCTTTCTCAGATGTGACAGTACCTCTTCTCAGCTTTATCTGTATACATGCTGTGTAGAAAAAATGTTCCTTGTTGCTTTATTATGCTGGGAAATCTGAGATTGGTACTAAACCTGTGGGTTGCTAACTAGGAGGAATTAGTTAACTGACCTGTATCTGGAATCGCCATATGGGAGGCAAGGAATTCTATCACTGAAAAGTTCTTGTTAGCTGCTGGTAGATAGTATATCATAAGCAGGGAATGCCTCAACTTGCAGTGGATACAAAATGTTCAGAATGATTTATGTGCTATTGATGTTTGAGAAATTGGCTCTTAATAGGATATAATGTTGGAGAATTTATCAGTAAGGATAAGCCAAAGTCATGTTGGTACTAGCTCGCTGATTATCATTAATGCATGCATTTCAAAAATAGCATGTTTCTTTTCTTTGTGTACAAAGTAGGTGCAGATCTATGTTACTGGGGCACTTCAAATATGGAGCCGTATCAGTACCTGACACATGAACCCATACCCGACACTTTGTGGACCCTCCTTAAATATATGCATATATTTATTTATGCACACCAGTACTCAATAATAGAATGCATATTTAATTTAAAACACTCATCATATACCTCTTTCATAACACACACACCACCAAGTAACAAAAATTTGAATATGGGTATGAGGTGGCAGCTCATTTTGCTAAATTAGCTACCAAGAGATAGAGTGGTGTGGTCCACACCTTGTGATGTGACTAGCAAGGTGGGCCTCACCACATGGCTATCTCTTGATAGCTCATTTAACAAAATGAGCCGTCACCTCATACCCATTATTTCCTATATATATATATATATATATATATATTATATATATATAGTATATAATCCTACACCTTCACATCGCATTTTTGTCACTTGTTGGTTAGGGTCGAGTTTCTTTCATCCTTAAGAACTACGATTTAAAAGGGTCATATATACAGTATGGCTCAAAACTATAATTATATCCCATGAGTTTCAACGTGGCCCCTTACACTATCTTAGACCAATTTATCGTGTCCCATACCCACACCTGGACCCGTACCTGTGCAGCTTAGGTGCAGTCCTACCTTCTACCTTAATACTATATTTTTAGCTGTTACATGATTTTGCTAGATAGTTGGTTCCGTCTCTAGCATGTAAATGTTGAAGGAGAATCAGACTGGGGAGGTATAATGGTATATTTTTTGTAACTTGGGAAGCTAATAGAAATGGTTAAGGAATTCAAAATGGATGTACCCTGCAATATTCTTGGATTTGATGGTTGACATCCAGGAAAGGATTTAGGGTGAAGAGATAAAAGGCCAGGGATAAACCGCACAGGCTGATGCTTAATCCCTAAAGACCTCACCATGAAGAACCCCATTTGGCTATCCCTAAAGACCACACCATGAAGAACCCCATTTGGCTCCCTCCTTTTTTTTCCTCATCTTTTTTCCAAGCTTTATAATAAAAGATGGAGATTAAAGAAGAAGGTAAATGGCAAACTGAAGGAATTACTAGAAAATATGTGTTGTATCATTCTATATTGCACATTTTCTATTTTAGGTGGACCATATAAATTTTACTCAGATGAGGGCAAAGTCTTTGAGGCTGTGACACATACAATTAGGACTGGAAACAAAACGAATTGAATTGATTATTACAATGTTTTTTTTTAATTTTCAAATTCAAAAACAAATTTGAATATAATTCTTCGACTTTCTTTGAATTCGATTACAAATACTTTTAGAATATCCAGATATACTGATCGAATAATACGGTATGTTTGTTTGATTAATGATTTATAGTTATAAGTAGTAAACTATGTAACTAGAAATAGTTTTATTTTGTTAAAGAAATTTGGTTTAATGACCGACACAGGGCACTTTGAGTTTGTCAAAATTACTATAGAACTTAAATTATAACATGTAAGTAGGTCAAAAGCACAACATCATGCATGTAATAGTACAAATTACAAGGGATGAAACTCGAAACGTATATTTGATAATCAAACAAATTGAATATACATTTGATTAAGTTCTACTCATTTATGAACCGAATACTAAAAAATATTTGTATATTTTAAAATGAATCACCGAATAAAATATAACTGAATAGTTAGACGAACATTTAACTAATTATTTATTAATTATTTGGTTTGTTTCCACCCCTGTATACAATGAAGTAATGTTTTAAGTTCTAATATCTCTGTGTAAGGATATTTATTTCCATTCGAAATCTCTCACAAAATAAGTATTCATAATTAGAAACACACGCGAACACACACACGCACACATTCTTTTCTTTCAGGTGATCTGACTTGGAGATGTCCACAAAAAAGATACAGTTGCAAAACACAAAGGAGATTCTGTATGCTTTTTATTATTGATTACTTAGTTGCTTGCATTGAACATTTATGTGTTTAGGCTTTTTGGTTGCATTTATGTCCGCTTTCCTGTTTTATTTCTTCTTTCTATTTTTAGATGATGATCATATTCACAAAATCCCATTTCCCCTTCACTAGGAGTCAGCTGCATCTTCTCAATCTGTAAATCCAAAGTTTTTCATTATCTTTATTTTCTTAGTTATATGCTAAAAGACTGGACTAGACCACTGCACCTTCTGTGACAATATCTATCTTTTGCATCCTCCAAAACTGTTTACTTGAGAGAAAGTTTGCTTTGCTACTCAGGAAAATGATCTGTGTCATTTATGTCTATCCTGTCACCTTATCTTACATTTGGGTTAATGGGTTAAAGTTTCTAAACCTCCTCTTGTGTAATGCTCCAACCATGAAGTTATAGGAAGTAACTTCCTCCGCTCTTCTCTTGTCCAAGAGCTAAATATTTTTATGTTTAAGGACAACTGTCTAAAAATGCTAGCCATAGAGCCATAGTTGACTCCTGAGCTAACTCGAACTCATAGATACTGGATAAATTCTTAGCAGATGTCATATAACTTTTGTTTTGGAACCCCAACAAAGAAACACATGCTTGCCTTCTCAGCTGATCATAAGATTTCGAATTCCAAAAGTGGCCATAACCACATACTTATTTGGTGCAACATCTAGTTTTGTGTGGCATGCACTGTAAAATTTCATTTTGTGTGGCACTTGGCTCTATGCTAGACCTAATTCCTTACATTTCTTGATTGTATTGGCGGGGATGTTAAGTTAAGATGCTCAAAACCAGACTTCGTAGGGGTTGGTATCCTAGTACAGCCATCATACAACATGCTTGTATAGTTTTGGCCAATTTTCTTTAAAAATTCTAGATAAGATAAAGTCTCAAGTTAATCAGGCTACTTTGTCTTAACTGACTGATGTTGTATGAGCCTGGGTTGTTATTAAGGGTACACAAAAATATCTATATCCGAGAAAATATTTGTATCTGTATCCGTATCCGTTAGGATGTGGGTATGGTTGCTAAAATCATTATCCGTATCTGTTGGGATCCGAATATGATTGCTAAAATCTATATCAGACAAGATATGGTAATGGATATGGGTTATATAATGAAATATCCATTTCCAAAATATCGGAATATATGTTGATCATGTAGTTTCAACAATTTTAATCTTTAGATTAATGGAATCGTGGTTAACGTTGATGATCAATAGATAGCCTTTCAGATATAATGAACATATTAATGAACATATTAATGGAATCGTGGTTTAACTTTGATGATCAATAGATCTAATCTTAGCCTTTCATCTTAGCCTTTGATATAATGAACATATTAATGAACTCTTTAGTATCATATGAACTATTTTTTTTTATATCCCTTTTTGTATCTGCATGCATGTATATCTGCTTATATATCCGTTTGCGTACCCGTATCCATATCCAATATTGGTAAGCGGATATAGGGACGATAGGTATCATATCTGTGCATCCCTAGTTGTTACATTCAGTATGAGTGTTGACAGTGCTAAAGAAGCCACCATGCAAGCCTATTTTGTGATGTTTAGAATACCTATTTGATTAAAATATAAAATATAAAATTTGTAAGCTTTTTAGGCAACATTTTGATACATTATCCTTTTTCGGTTTGGCTAGATGCATGTTAGAGATGGTCACAGGAATAGCAATACATCTGTACTCTCTCCTCAAATGCGTTCTGGCCAGCCCGTCATCCCTGCTCTTCAGAACAGACAAGCACCAAGCTCTGGTAAATTAAGGGGATCATTGATAGTTCAGGCATCCAACACGGGCGTCCATTCAGATTTGGGAAACATTGATAGTATTGAGATTCGTAAAACCAACAAGGTTATAAATGAGGTATTCAGTCTTTAAATGGTTGATCATTTGCTTGTTATTTTTAATTTATTTCAAGAATATTGAATCTGAAGGTTGATTTAACTTTACCTTTACCAATAAGCAGGTTGAGAAGCTTTGTGAAGGGCTTAACCCTGATCCTGGTCAAATAGAGAGGGCAAAGATGGTCCTTAGGGTGAGTTGGTACATGGTATTTATTTGAGTGGCCTGAAATCTGCTTCAAATTTCTGGTTAACCGTAATATTTGAGGAACTGGAATTTGATTGCATTCTTGAACTGTTGCTGAAATAGGACCATGAAAGGGCACTTATGGATGCAATTGGAAGACTTACTCATATGTCAGATGGTGAGTGGTTAGAGTTCCACTTTTTACCTTTCTTTCTGCTTAATATATCTCAATTTGAACTTACTACTTAGGGTACATAGACCCCATGCAGTATCTCAATTTAAACTTACTACCTTGTAGTTTCATTGTTGCGGATAGACTTCCCAAGGTTCTTTATTTTGTCTTTTTTCTTTTTTTTTAAAAAAAACTCTTTCTATCTTTGATGAAAAGCTCAAAATAATGATACTACATGGGGTCCACGTGCAACTGACCCTATTCCTAGATATCCATGCTATATCTTTTTGATGAGTCTTTACCTGTGAATACTAGATAATTCTCCTGATCCCAGGCAAAAGCAGCATCAACATTCAAATGAAGAACGGGATAGGAGCAGGATCACCTACGGTGATGGCTGCATTGTAAATCATGCAGAAAGATCTGGAACCCCGCACATTATTCTTTAAGCTGATGATTTTGTTTAAAGTTGCTAGACAAGTTGCAGTTAGAATCATGACAATGACGAGGGCTCTTTAAAGTTGTTTAATTGTGATATATGATGGATTTCACGAATGACATCGGTATGTACCCTTCTTCCGATATCTTGCATCCTGTAATGCCTGAAGTCACGAAGTAGATACATGATGCACTGTAAAAGGCTCCTCTAACATGTGTAAATATAGTTTGTTTTGTCTATGATCTTTTCGTTATGTGGACATTGTTTAGAAGTTGGTCATTTATTGCTGTTTGATAATCATCCATATAGTTTTCAGAAAGGGTTTTTTCGTTATTATCCCTTAAATCTTTAATATTTTGAAATTAGTCTGTCAAATCATTGAAATTGCTATTAGGTCCCTTAATTCTTAAGATATTTTGAATTTGTTCCTCGTATCATTGAAATTGCTATTAGGTCCCCCAATTCTGATGTTACTTTGAAATTAACACCTCCAATAGCAGTAAGAATAGCAATTGGAGGGATTAATTTGAAATAAATTAAGATAATTGGGAACCTGATAGTCCGTAACAATAGATTGTACCTCTTCAATTGCTACGTTTGCCTTTGATTGGAGGCACTGATTTCAAAATAACATAAGAAGTGGGGGCCTAATAGCAATTTCAATGATTTGATGAACTAATTTCAAAATACCTTAGGAATTGAGGTACCTAATAGCAAATTCATTGATTTGAGTGACTAATCTCAAAATATTAAAGATGCAAGGGACTAACCTTAAAAAAAACCTTTCAGAAAAGACATTTAAAATTTTGCGAGATTCTGATTTTTCTTCTCAAGTCCATTTGAAGCATGTGATGATAAGATTTTATGGAAGTTGCAACTTTGCCCTACATTTTGAAGATATCTGTTTTTGAAATCTTAAAATTCCTTTCGTGCTAAGCTGGAAGTGATCAAATTTGTTTATTAAGTCTTCTTATGGCGGCCAGTTCCAATCTGAAAATATTGATCAGAAGGCAAAAGGAAGCGCTCTTTATGTTTTCGTTCCCTTTCAGTATTATAAGTGAAATTTCTTGACACAGCTCAGATATGGGCTGCCTTTTTTTTTTTTTTTTGTAAGCCTCCTTGAGTAATCATCCTATTGTTCCAGTGGTTGGTTCCTTTGCTTCCTATTCTGTGATATCGTCGATAAACTGTAAGGTCAGGTAAGAGCTCAGGCTTCGTTGTGAGGATCGCGAAAGTGTTCTTTTCTTCTTCTTCTTCTTTTTTGGGTGTTCAAGCGCTATGTTAATTATTCTGTCAAAATTTTTACATTTCTTTTTATCCTCTTACCTTGACGTAAGTTGATGTTGCTGTACTGAAAGGAAGATGATCTTAAGATCAAGCGATAAGGGTCCATTGCATTCCAAGTATAATTTCAAACATCCGCTTTTAGTCATTCCAAATGTAATTAATAATACAGTGCGCTTTCGTTTATTAATGGTGCCGAGAGTGTAAAATTGCTGATACATCATCCTCACAAGCCTGCATCGAGGTGATGTTTTCCTTCTGACGCAGTGAGTAGCTGTGGACGATGGTATACTGACTGTTTTATGACAAGCTTGCTGGGATAGCGTCTGTCCTTGCTGGTAAAAACAGAATGTTCAGGGACGTGGGGGAAAGAAAATTGTAGACACGCATGCAAATTTCAAGAGATTCACTAGGGGAAGAAATCTCATTTGTGCGATTGTTTCCTCAATTATATTCGAAGAGAATCCATCGAGAACATTATCCAGCTCTGATTCCGCAACTTCGTTGATTAGTTGTGATGGAAGGCTCAAGCACAAGATCAAGCAGAATTTGGTTTGCCAATTCATGTTCAAGCTTCTCATAAATGATGGATCCCAAGGCTCTAATGTAGGGCGTAGAAAGTTTTAAATGTATCGTGTTCAGCATTAATTATCAACGTCTGGTGAGTTAAAGAGTTGATATCTTCTTAATGCATTGTTAATATATATGATGACATAGATTGAATTATATTGCAATTTTTTTGTACACGTGGTCCAGTTAATGTGCACTATATATCACCTAATATTATGATCTATATTTTCCTTTCCAGCAATAGTATCTAAAGTAAAATAAATGAATAAAAAAAGGAGAAGACTAAGAAAATCCCTCCTTTGATTTCTACGTAGTTATTCTTTTCCCCCCTCTCAAGTACTCTCTCCTCTTTACCTCTAACCTGATGCGGGGAAAGAAAAAAAAATCACAACTTCTACGAGCATTTGGTTAAATTCATAGGAAAAGATTCATTTTTCCCCCCTTTTTCCCTTCAATGTTTTGAACTAGGAACATAGTTTAAATACTACTTTAGAACAAAAAATCATTGGTAAGGTGGTTCTTTCAAACTTGTAAACTTTGTCTAGACCTTTCTTTTCAGTTACTCCTTCCTCATGTGAGTTAGATCTTTTTGCAACTCCTAATTCACAGAAAATGACTGATCTCCAAAAGCACACGTGTACTGTTGTAGAACTAGAAAATAGAGAAAGAGAATTTAAAAAAAAAAAATCATATGAAGAGATTTTTTTATAGAAAATCATATAGAAAGGAAGAAAAATAGTTCGGTACAGTCAAAATATAAACGTAATCTAAGTATTAAATCAGCCTAATTAATATATTTTTAGTTTTCCATAAGATATCCCCAAATCTTATTATGGATGAGACTAATCCCCGCTCGTTCTTCGTGGCTGGAGCTGGCCCGAGAGTTTTTAACCCGCTAGAGGATTCGAACATGGGAGTAACCCGCTATAGATCGTCTCCGAACAGGAGCGCAGTGTGGCCTTACACCGCTTTGCCAACCATGCTGGTTATAAGTCCCCATGTCATTTTTTTTTATAGAGGGCCCTCTGGTATTAAATGGGGGCAATAATCTTACACATCTAGAATTCCTAAGAGCTTCACATGGGCGAGGTCAGAACGAGGGATGGAGGGCCAAAAACTTTTCTTTAAAACACAACAAAGCTGAGAGTATCGCCTACAAAAAGGAACCCCTTAACTTTGTCCAATGTGACTTCGCCATGTGGAGCCTCTCTCTACCAAACAAGCAAACAGATCTCATCCCTATACCATCTCTGTTTTTATTCCCATCATAAGAGTGAAAAGGAAAAGGAAGGGGGGAAATCCTATGAAGAATCCTCTTCACAAAGCTGATGAGAGTGAAGGGCATGTTGCCATGTGTAGTTAGTATCAGTTCATTTCATGACTGCATTAATAAACATTAATGATCGTAGGCAATAGCAGAATACATCAAAATCTGTAATAATTAGACATCACCCCATCATTCCGTCGAAGCACCCTATTGCTGTGATAAAACTCTAAATTCTGATAAGATTTAAGGGTTATATTTTTCTATTCTAACGTGCCCCCGCATGTTGAGGTTGAGGTCCCATTTATGTGCCGAAACGTGAGATTTAAATCTGAACAGCTCTGATTATTATCCCCAGCAACAATATCGCTCCCACAATGAGAGCACCTAACCAACATGTACACCATCTGATAACTGCCGCTCTCCTACAACTGTAAACTCTGTATTTCGTTCTGAAAAATTAATCCTCGTCCGATCCTCTTCATACCACCACCGATGGGCATCAAAGAGTTCGTGATCACATTCATCCTCACCTCCCTCCTCCTCTCCCTCCTCCTGATCCCATCCCTCCTCCTCACCAAACCAACACCCTCCCCTTCCTCCTCCCTCCCTCCTCGCCTCCGCGTCGGACCCCCCGCCTCCTTCGCCTACCTCATCGCGACGCCGACAGGGCCTCCTCCGGAACCCTCTCGCCCCTCTACCACCCTGCAAACACTACCTGCCTCACCTGGACCTCGCAGGCTTCACCTCGGGAGCACGCCCGCGCTCCGCAGGCTCGTCTCCGGCCACCCGGTCTTCTCCCGGTCGTCGCGTCGTCCGGAAGCCCAACTTGGTCACCTACAGAGGACCAACAATGCTTGCGACCACTCTCCACGCCATGGCGATCTTGCTGAGGAGCTCAGAGTGGGATTGGTTCATCAACTTGAGCGCCTCCGACTACCCTTTGATCACCCAAGATGGTGAGTTAGTTTATGAGCATTTTTTTTTTTTTATATAACTGGTTGATTATCAATCAAGTTTTAATTCGTCAAGTGTTTACAGATCTGATTGCTGCCTTCTCTCGTTTGCCTAGAAACCTCAACTTCATACAGCATACCAGCAACTTGGGGTGGAAATTGTAAGATCTTTAACTTCCACAGTTTTTTTTTTCTTTTTTTTCTTGTTATAATCATTTATGGGATTATCCTAATTGAGATTTCCATAATAATTGTCGGTGGTTTAGTAATAAGAGGGCAAAGCCAATCATGATAGACCCTGCTCTGTACAGTCTCAACAAATCAGACCTCATTTGGTCTACCAACCAGAGGAGCCTGCCCACTGCTTTTAAGCTTTTCACAGGTTAGTTACATTTTCAGCAAAAAATAAATAAATAAATAAATAAATAAAATCCTCTTGTATTAGAATAATGACACGAATATACAGATTTAATGTTTGGTAATTAGTCATCATTATGTTTTATTCGGTTAGTTACCAGCACTTGATTAGTCTCAACCGATGAGTTTGCAGGTATCGACATTGCCAAAACACAATGGCTCTCAAAAGCTAGATCTGGGGAGCTTACTGTGTTTTTATGCACACGAGCTTATGACTCAAAAACTATGTCTTATATTTAATCCAAGTTTAATCAGTAAAATGGACTATGCACCGAATGCACGTGCATACGGGCATCTATTAATACCTAAAACAAAGCTCTCTCTACCATCCTATCTTGGTAAAATTGATGTGTGGGAGTGGAGTACATCAAGGAATTTAATGGTAGTGTTATATGCTCTTGCACTTTATATGGTATATAATATATACAAGATCATCTAAAAAATAAGGGGAAAAGAAAAACTAATGACTGATCATGTGATTGGTGTCCCTGAGACTGGAGGTCGATAATCCAAACAATAATCTATAGACTGGTTTATTTCTTTTTTTTTTCTTTTTTTTTTTTTGTGCAAAGCAATGCTTAACCTTTCTTTGCTGAAATCAGTGCTATCTTAAATAATGAAGCTTGATTTTAAATCAAGTAGATTAATTAAATTACTCCCGTGAAGTTTTGGAGGCACTTGCAAAAGCTTTGGGGTCTTGGGAACTCGCATGAGGTCCTGTGGTCAAGCAAATAACAATTTATTCCAGTTTAATTAATTTAATATATGTGTAGCTAATTAAAGGACGGTCTACTCAATCTATACCCACAGAGCCTCCCAGAATTGTTGTTTAAATCTAAATCATTAACTTAATTAATTTATATTTTTTGTATGAGGCCAAACAAGTAGCCACCTTTCAAGATCTTGAATTTTAAATTTTAAAAAGACGGAGAATAACTTGCTAGCTAGTGATGCCTACTTTTGTTTTAGGGTAGATTCTACAGAACCCCGTGGTTTTTGAGGTGTTTTGCGCAAAACCTAGATAAACTTTTTATATTGGAGAAAACCCCCCGAACTTGTTTCACTAGAGTAAGATTATTGACCAAAGTTAGTTTCAGATGTTAATGATTTGCTAGTGATGGTGATCACCACTTTTGTGTTTGGGTAGGTCAAATTAAGTTAGTTTTAGATCTTAAACCCTTCATGTATGAAAATTTCAAACAGTTAAAGAGAGATTTTGTGCAGTCTTGGAAGCTCGGAAGGTCTCATCTAATTTATAATGTTCTTGGGGTCTTGTGAAACTTGGTCTCTTTCCCATAAAAAAGTTTCAAATAGTCTTTTTATTTTTTTCAATGAAAATTTTTATTCATTACCAATATATAGAAGTTATAATACATCAACATCATTTCTCAAGACTAGTTACAGAATCCAGTCTTCAAAAGTAGCAGTTCTCTACATGGCTTTTTATATGGTGTGGTATATTATCATTCAATATCCTTGCATATACATGTAGCTTTATCAAGCTAAAGAGATGATCATAGCCTCTTGATTGTAGTTGAAAGATTCGGAAGTTCCTCTCTTGTCAAATCATATAGACTGAAGTAGATAGAGCCAACATTTTAAGCTTTATTTTGAAGTTTCAAATAGTCTTGATTTACGAAAAGGGTTACTTGTGGATAAACCCCTTACAGTATCGCTCAACAGCGGACATGCCCCTATAGTTTATAGTTACCTGTAGACCCCCAAAATGAACTTTTCTGACTCTTTTACCCCTCGAGGGGTCTCTAATTGTCTTTAAAAACAAAAAAGTACACATCTGGGGGTAAAAGAGTCGGCAAATTTTTTTCAAGAGGCCTATCTGCAACGGTAGGACTATACCGGGTGTATCCGCAATTGGCCGATAACACAAGGGATCTATTTGCTGCAATTAACCCTCATAAAACATTGTCAAATGTCTTCCGTCGGACCTTCCATTGCCATAGCTTTTTGTGTTTATATTATATATGCCATAAATAAATCACGCAAACACAATCCATGTAAACTGGACAAATTTTTAAAACCAACTCATTTGTGAACTTAATCCCAAAAAACGACCTCATTCAAACAAAATTGCAAAAACCGACCTAGTTTCAGCCTCAGCGCTGAAACCATGTCGATTTTTGGAAAAAAAACTCCAAAACTTCAAAATTTTTGAACTATGGAACTTCACGGGAGTTGAACTCCCGTGAAGTTTAGCAGATCTACTAAACTTCACGGGAGTTGAACTCCCGTGAAGTTTTGGAAAAAAAAATTTCAAAAACCGACCTGGTTTCAGCGCTGAGGCTAAAACCAGATCGGTTTTTACAATTGTGTTTAAACGAGGTCGTTTTTTGGGAATAAAAGTCTAAATGGGTCGGCTTTGAAAATTAGTCCCGTGTAAACTACTAACAAGCATTCGTACGCTCCTCACTCTGCCAGGCTCAGCATGGACCGTACTCTCCAGATCCTTTGCAGAGTACTGCATCATTGGCTACGACAATCTCCCAAGAACCCTCCTCCTCTACTACACAAACTTCGTCTCGTCCCCTGAGGGCTACTTCCAGACCCTCATCTGCAACTCCAAGGAGTTCAAGAACTCGACGGTCAACCACGACCTCCATTACATCGCATGGGACAACCCCCCGAAGCAGCACCCCAAGCCTCTAACCGTCAAGGACTACAGGAGGCTGGTCCTCAGCAGCCTGCCGTTCGCGAGGAAGTTCAAGAAGAACGACGCGGTGCTCGATAAAATCGACAAGGAGATGCTGAGGAGGAGGAAGAATCAGTTCAGTTATGGAGGGTGGTGTGCTGATGGGAGAATTTGTAATGGCGGCGGGAAGAGGAAGGAGAAGAAAATGGGGGGTCTGAGGCCTGGACCTGGCTCGAGGAGATTGAAGTCGTTATTGACAAAGTTGTTGTCGAGTAGAAATTTTGGGAGAAGGCAGTGTAAATGAAGTTTGTTTGAGGAAAAAAAAGATTTTTTTTTGAAGCTCGGATTTTGAGTTTCTATAAGATAAAATGATCTAAATAAGCGAAAGTCATTGCGCGCCAAAGGTCTCACACAGTCACACAAGAGAGGAATAGAAAAGAGAAGAGTGAGTTATGTGATATTTGAAATAAACCGTATGGCTAATATGGAAATATAAAATTAGTATACATATTTACTGACATAAAACACTCGTCACAATACACTGAGTAAACAACAAATAGCTTTTGCTATTTTTTCCAGTATAAATTCTAATTAACCCCTAGAAATAATCTCTTACAGGAACCACTTACATGATGAAATATAAAGCTGGTGCAGAAAATGATATTTTGGATAATTTATATTTAAATAGAAAAAACTGTGCATCTCGTGCGTTCATAGAACTCTTGATATCGACATCAAAGACATCTAAAATTTCCAGCACTCCATATCATGACAGAATATCCAACATTCAATCGGTAATTAGATACCAAAACAAAAGAGGTACAAACAAGCCAAACTTGTAATTAAAGAATAATTAGATGAAGAACATATACCTTTACATCCCAACAACAAATTATCAGAATTATTAACAGTTTGCACCGAATCAAGCAGCCAGCAATGTAGGATGGCGCTTCGTCTTGGTATAATCAAAGCAATCAGCAACATATTCTGTCGTTGTTACCTCAACGTGTAACAACGAAGATGCGCACACGTCTCTGTGATCAGTAATGCACAAATAGAGCTAAGTTCATCATCTCTCATGAAAGTAAGCAGCTACAATCAGACCTACAACAGTTTATGCCATCACAATATTATGTATCCATAAAGATGGTGAGAAATACTACAAAGCAAATGTCTTCTTCCTCATTTGTTACAAATTAGTAATCAGAGGTACGATATTTCTTGCGATCAAGTCCTCAGCCTTACCCTCCGCCCACTTGAATCCCCACCATCGGAGAGCTGGCCCCACACGCTACGGCTTTTGCCAGCACTGCTGTACTCCTCTTCACACCCTGCAACAGCCTTCAGGAGTTCTGACTGCAGTGAAGGGCAATGCTCTTTGAGGTATTCAAACCCAGTTGATCGCATTACAGCTGCAAATAATGATGGCCAGTTCAAGATCCATAAACATAAAGCAAATGTGACAGCCAAAAACACTAAGTCAATTAAGAAAACAGAAACTAAAAGATTTCACGTAAATAGAAGACATTTTGATAAGAATGCATGGTTCGATTTTTCATTCACTAAAACAGAAATTTTGCCGAGAACGTGATGCAAGAACCATCTACTCTTTGTCAAATGTGCTACAAATATTATATAAAAAACCTAAAAGATATACTCATCCTTATTAGACAATTGGTTGTTGTGTATGGACTTTCGCATGTTGTATGTGATAAAATTTTAACAAGAGAATTACTTAAGCTCGTTGAATCAAATCAGGATGGTTAAAATGGAGGAGTGGTTATGGAATTCTTAGTGACCGTAGAATACCCATCAAGCTTAAAGAAATTTTGTATAAGATAGCTATAAGACCAACAATGTGGATAAGAATATTGGGCAATAAGAACAACTTTAAAAAAAGAAAATTGAGTGTACTTAGAAGGAGAATATTACAATGAACTTGTAGATGTACACTAAGAGAGAAGATAAGAAATGAATACATTCAGGAGACCAGATATTGCTTGCTTCTATTGAGAATAAGATGAAAGAGAATCAATTGGAATTGTTTGGTCATGTGCAATGAAGGCTGCTAAATGCCCAAGTTAGGTGAAGTCATAAGATTATAGATAATGGGAGGATTAGAATTAGGCCTAAGAGAACTTGGTTAAAGCAACTTCAATGTTAAAGGTTGACTTAATGAAGGAGACGGTCCTTAACAGAACTGAACAGAAGAATAAAGATTCACGCAGCTGGCCCAAAACATTTGGTATAAACGCCTTGTTGTTGCTGTTTGTTGTTGTTGTTGACAGTACAGGATCCAAGCATGAGTTTGTTGCTTTCTCTGAAAATCTAGATGGCCATACGACAATAAGAACTAGAGTTTTCATGAAGAGGAATAGATGCAAGCACAAATCGATGGGGACAATGAAGATCAAGCAGTCAAATTGTTTTAAAGTAGTTTATAGATGAAGAGTTAAACTGCAAAAGCAGAAGGTTCTTTTGATTTCAATTTGAACAGACTTCTTGGCCCTTTCTGAATGAAACAATTGAAATTTCCAAAGACATCACTTAGTCATCGTTCTGGAATACAAGAAGAACTACTATCTCCAGTCAAAACCATGAAAATAAACCTATATATTGTCCTAACGTAGGCTATTATTTTTTACTTCATTCAGAAAGAAAGAAACTAGCCTCAAGAAAAATTAAAACTAGCTAGAAACGTGGTAGTGATATATGCACCAAAAGGATGCCCATGACGAAATCTGAGAAAAGAAGCAAAGATAAGCATGCAGGATGATTTAAAAGAGAATACCTGACAGGTTTTCAGCAGCAAATTTGAGACAAGCAGCTTTAAGTTTCATGGCATGATACTGATCAGCCAATGCAAGAATGTTAGCTACAGTATTAACCGATATATTTTTGCATAGATAAGATTCGCACATCATTCGAAGCCTTTCCAACCCGTACTTGTCTGCTGCGGCTAATAATTTGGCAGCTACTGTGTCAGATAAAGAAATTAGAGGAGAACCTGATGCAACCAAAACCTCATCTTCGACAAGGGAATCCATGTAGATAAAGTGGAGCATTGCCTGACCAGGACATCAAGCAAAGGTAGTATTAAATAAAGGGAAAATCAATAGTTTTGTGTGTGCACAAAAATAATGAATGGATGTCCTCACCTTAAAAACCTTAGGCTCCAAATCTGTGATAGCAATTTCATTTTGTTCACTATTTACTCCATCATAAAATGATGTTCTAAATACAGGGGATCTTGCAGCCAATACCAACTTATGTGCATGAAACTTTACTCCGGCTACATCGAAAACTATGTCAGAGCCTTCCTGATTTTCCAGAAGTGCCCCAAAATGCATTCCCATATCAGAATCAGGAACATGTATTGAGTGTAACCTGGGACAATCCATAACTGACACAACAACGCCAACAGTGCAATTGATTTTCAGGCAATCATCCTTGAGATAGTCCGATGTCTCCAGCGCTGCTCTTCTGAAAAATCGCTTATAGCCCCTGAAAGGTATAAAACAAATATTGTCAGTGGCGGTGTAGCCTAAGAAATATACATGCATTCAAAAGTTGCAATGTAATTAACATTATAAAAGATTGGGCATGTTCCCACGCATGTCCATCCTGCCATGTTGAGAAACTGCCAATACCATATCAAAGCATCTCATAGATTAAAATTTTGAAGACACTTGATAGATTAAAATTTCGAAGACACTTCACCAGTAGTGAAGAGGAGTTCTTTCATAGATTAAAATTTCAAAGACACTTCACCAGTAGTGAAGAGGAGTGCTTACAATTTACCTCTGGAATTAGTCTTTAAAAAAAAAGGTTTCTGAGATATAACTTAAAATTAATCGGAAATGTTCATTAACACATATACCTGTAGACGTTGGGTTCAACAATTAGGATTGAGTATTGGATTTAATAATAGCTAGTTTCTCTAAGACATCAAATCAGGTTTAGTTTGAATATATTATGACCAACTAAAAAGATAACTTCCAACAAAGAGAACTGACCCAGAAATGTTCTTAACAAATATACTTGTAGACATCAGGTTCAACAATTAGGATTAAGTAATGAATTTAATATTAGCTAGTTTTCCAAGAGATCAAATCAGGTTTTAGTTTGAATATATTGTGACCCAACTGAAAAAACAAATCTCAACAAAGAGAACTGACTGTAGATTATCATATATCATACTCCCTTTAAAAGTACGAGTTGGAGAAAATCTTTCCATGGTCAATATTACCCTTAATTTTTTTAAATATTATATTGTTATCCTAATCTATTCTAATTTTCCTATCTACTTTGAATTTATAATTAAATGATTTATCCTATCCATAATGAGACTTAACATGTTATTGGATAAAGGTGATATGTTTGATATAATTCAAATCTTTTACTTATTTCAATTTGTAGAGAAATCTAAAAAATATATGCTAGCCCAGCACCTAAAAGTTTTTTGACCTTGTAAAAAAATACCCTCAAGATAAAACTCTAAAAATTTATAAAACTCTAAACTTTTTACAAGTTGCAAGATAAAACCCTCAATACTGTAAAATTTATAAAATTTCTGATAATTTCTAACCTAACAGTATATTAAAAATATAGAAGTTACAAATATCCCCTACATAATTTATAATTTATAGAAAATACCCTTTAAGTTTTAAAAATTACAAAAAAACACTCAAAATTTAAATTTTACAAAAAACACTGAGAATTTCAAACTCATTAGTAAATTGAAACTATAGGAATTATAAATAGTCTATAAACAATTTACAATCTATAGAACAGACCTATAAGTTTAAAAATTACAAAAAACCCTTAATATTCATAATTTATAACATGAGAATTTCTAACCTATAGACACTAAAATAAATATACAAAATTACTAGCAACCTTAGAAAATAGAAAAAATTTACATAAAAATATCATAATTCCTTTAAAAGTATAGGTTTAGGAAAAACTTTTCATGATCAATATTACTCATAACTTTTTTAAAAAGAACATAACTAATTAAAAATCTGTTAGATTTGAAATTTATAAAAAAAACAATCTTAAAGTTTAGTACATTCCAAATTACCCCTCCAAAGTTTGAAAATTTTCAATGATTTTTTGTAGTTTCTTGGATTTTAATATAATTTTTAATAGTTTTGTGTATTTGTTAATTATAAAAGTTTAAGGTGTTTGTTTTTACAATTTTCAAACCTTTTGAGGGTATTTCATTTGTAGTTTTCTAAATTTTCATTGTGTTTTTAGTGTAATGCATAAATACATCAATTAATGATGATATTGAAGAATAAATCGTTCTTAATCAAGCTATAGTTAAGTGTGCATATCACTATTCCTAGGCACTATAGTTTATACATACAAAAAATTTTAAACAGTCAATATGTTGGTTAAAAGGTTTTTGACTTTAATGTACTATTTTTTATAAATTATATTTAATGTGAACCCACCATATAATTTTAACTGTGTTTAATGTACTATTTTTTATAAATTATATTTAATGTGAACCCACCATATAATTTTAACTGTGGTCATTATAATTTTAATATAAATTATATTTAATGTGAACCCACCATATAATTTTAACTGTGGTCATTATAATTTTAATATGTTTAATTGATTGACTATATAAGTATATAGACCATAGATTACTTTACTTTCTCGCATAAACGAATATTTGGCACTCAATAATTTAAATTATTACTTTTAAATTATATTTATTTATTTAGCTACAGGATAATACAATTTTAATTCCTAGACCTTGTAGAAAATACCCTCCTAAGTTTTTAAAATGCAAAAACACTCCTACAAATTTAAAATTTTATTAAAACATCTTAAAAATTATAAACTTTACTTATTTTAATTCAATGAGAAATCTGAAAAATATATGCTAGCTAAAAAATAAAAGTTTTTGACATTGGAGAAAGTATAATGTAAGTATTAAAAAATGCAAAAACACTCCTAAAATTCAAAATTTGTAAAAAACACATTGAAAATTTCAAGCATATAAACACAATAAAAACCTAAAAATAACACAAACAACCCCCAAAAAATTATGGAATTTGCAATAAAACTCTAAATTTTTTACAAATTACAAGATAAACCCCTCAAGATTGTAAAATTTATAAAAATCTTGATAATTTCAAACCTAACAATACATTAGAAATATAGGAGTTAGAAATATCCCATGCATAATTTATAATATATAGAAAACACCCTTAAAGTTTTAAAAATTACAAACAAACACTCAAAATTTAAATTTTATAAAAACCACTTTGAGAATTTCAAACTCATTAGTAAATTAAAAATATAGGAATTATAAATAGTCTATAAATAATTTATAATCTATAGAAAATGCCTATAAGTTTAAAAATTTATAAAAAAATCCCTAATATTCATAATTTAAAAAAAAAACACCATGGAAATTTCTAACCTATAGACACTAAAATGAATATACAAAATTACTAGCAACCCCTAGAAAATAAAAAATTTTCAAAAAATATCATACTCCCTTTAAAAGTATAGGTTTAGGAAAAAAATTTCATGGTCAATATTACCCATAATGGTTTTTAAAAGAACATAACTAATTAAAAATATATTAGATTTGAAATTTACAAAAAAACTTAAAGTTTCGTACATTACAAATTACCCCTCCAAAGTTTAAAAATTTTCAATGATTTTTTGTAGTTTCTTGGATTTTAAAGTAATTTTTTTAAGTTTTGTGTATTTGTTAATTATAAAATTTTAGGGTGTTTGTTTTTACAATTTTAAAAACTTTTGAGTTTATTTCTTTTGTAGTTTTCTAAATTTTTATTGTATTTTTAGTGTAATGCATAGATACATCAATTAATGATGATATTGAAGAGTAAGTCGTTCTTAAGATGTATTAGGCTATAGTTAAGTGTGCACATCACTATTCCTTGATAGTATAGTTTATACATGTAAAAATTTTCAAACAATCTATATAGTGGTTAAAAGGTTTTTAACTTTAATGTACTATTTTTTTATAAATTATATTTAATGTAAACCCAACATATAATTTTAACTGTGGTCTGTGGTCATTATAATTTTAATATGTTTAATCGATTGACTATATAAATATGAGTCAAATCACAACTAAAAGTTAATGTGAATATGAGTCAAACCACAACTAAAAGTTTAATGAACATATTATAAGTAAATTCATATGCAAAATTCTTATGCGAATTGAATGATCACCCATCTTTTAAAGACTTCAAGATACTAATAAACAAAGATATTGTACTAGATCAATGTGTTTATAACTCACATCACGTAGCGATAGTCTGGATTAAAGGAAACAATGATAATATTTTATTTGAAAGAGAGATTATTATGTTGATAATCAATCCCACAAAAAACTTTATTTTCTTTTTTATTTTTAATCTATTTTATCTATTTAAATAACCATGATATTTGACCACGTGCATTGCACGTGTAATCTAACTAGTGTACTTCAAAAGACTAAGTCTACATTGGGCTCATAACATACCGATTTGAGGATTAAGAAGCATTTTCTTATCAGATGCAAATGAAAATGCACAAAAATCATGGGTTATACCCAGAAAAATTACAAATTTTGAAGCATATGGCTAATAAATAGTCATTAGGTCGCATCAGACCAAAAAAAAGATAAAATCTATGAACTAAAAGCCTATAGAAAATCGTGAATTTTAAGGTACTGGTACTTATTTGCCATTGGATCAAAAAACGAAATTAACAAAAACTATTGGTTATAGCCTATGACAATCACAATTTTTTTCAAAAAGAAAACTAAATTGTCATTGGGTCAAAATGAATGAAAATTGACAAAAATCATGGGTTACATAACCCATGAAATTCGTTGAATTTTGAAATTTACGTAGAAATGTAACTAAGCATATTTCAAAATTCGCAATTTCATGGGCTATAGCCCATAATATTCGCTCATTTTCAATCGATTCGACCAAATGCTAATTAATCACGCACACGAAAAAGTTCGTATTTTTCATGGGTTATATACCCACGATTTTAGTCCATTTCGCCAGTTTTGACACAATGACAGTTACATTTTTTTTTATAAATATCGCAATTTCCCTTAACCCAACTTTGGTTCTCAAACCTAATGACAAAATTATGCGCACCTTAAAGAAAATGACCAATCAACAAGCACATTTTTCACAAATTGCACACAAATCATCTCGTAATCAACCAGAACCCTAGTGACACACACAAAAGAAAAAAAAAACTTACCACATGCTCCCCCGATACTTGAGCATATATGGCTCGCTCTCCAGCGACCGGTCGAAATGGCTATGCACCTTAGAAAATCATGAATTTTAAGGTACTTGTACTTATTTTCCATTGAATCAAAGAACAAAATTGACAAAAATCGTTGGTTATAGCCTATGAAAATCACAATTTTTGAAGAAAGAAAACTAAATTGTCATTAGGTCGAAATGAATAAAAATTGACAAAAATCATAGGCTATATAACCCATGAAATTCATTGAATTTTGAAAATCACGCAAGAATGTAAATAAGCATATTTCAAAATTCGCGATTTCATGGTCTATAGCCCATGATATTCGCTCGTTTTTAATCGATTCGATCCAATTCCATGCACACAAAAAAGCTCACGATTTTAGTCCATTTTCGTTAGTTTTGACACAATGACGATTAAATTTTTTATAAAAATCGCAATTTTCATTAACCCAACTTTGGTTCTCCAACCCAATGACAGAAGTATGCGCACCTTAAAGAAAACGACCGACCAACAAGCACATTTTTTCACAAATTGCACACAAATCACCTCGCAATCAACCAGAACCCTAGTGAGGGGGCCTGAAAAAAGAAAAGAAATCTTACCACATGCTCCCCCGATACTTGAGCGCGTACGGCCCGCTCTCCAGCGACCGATCGAAATGGCTATGCACCTTATGCTTCTCCCTCCCACTCTGATCGACGAGCGTCAGCTCAAACAAAGCCCTAACATCCGCCCCCTCGCTCGCCAGCGCGATGAAAACCGAGACATAGGCCGAATTTTCCTCGGGATTCTTGCCATCGGGATAGAAGTAGATCGCCCACTGGAACCCTCCAACGGTGAAAGCGTCGCTGGCCACGTGCTTTCCGACGCCCATCCCTTTCGCCAGCGAGTAGCCCTCGATCACGAACTTGTGGGACCCGTTGACGGTCTCGGTGGCGGATCGGGAGGCCGTGGGCGATGAGACCGAGAGGTCTTTCTCGGGGGCGATGATTTCGGGGATCATTGACGCCGCCGGCTGGACTTTTAATTTCTCATAGAAATTTGAAGGGAATTTTAGGGTTTTTGAAGGAGAAATCGAGTTGATTAGGGTGTGAAGAAAGGGGGAATTTCTCTCGTTGGGATTATTTGGTTTTCGAGGGAAAGTCAGAAAGAAGAGAGCGAGAGAGAGCTGATTTGTGTTTATTTTCCAAATAAGACCTTATACTTTTTTTTGCAAATAGAAGTTTTCTTCTCTCTTTTTTTCCTTCCTTTTTTGTTTAAAATAATTTTGATAGAAGGAAGTTGCGCTCGTCTAAATTAAGAAAAATTCTTGAACTATATTTCATCAATGCTTTGGATAGACTTACAATTAGGTCTCACGATCATAACAATCAATTTCAGATCCACTAATTTAAAGCTAAAATAACTTCAGCATTTCGGTCAACACAAATACCCACATATCGATCCGAATCTTTTATCTGTATCAATATTTTGTATCTTTACCATATAAAATATTTAAGTGATATCTGTGTATTTGTTCATACGTTGATATTTAATATCCAGAAAACAAATAGTTCAACTAATATTCATACCCTCTTGCATGATTGCATCCCTAGTTATAATTAAAATAAAAAAAACTCGGGACATAGATATTCCGTGAACAGAAAAATATGCGTGCATTTCGCACAAAACTAACGTGTGATCATGAAATACACAAATATTATAAATTTTGGGTTTAATTTCACTAAACCCGTAATTGTGGACGCTTTGCACTTAACCCCTATAAATTTTGAAACTCTCACTAAATCCCCAATTAATAAGTTTGGAATCCCCAAAAACCTCCCAAAACATTTCCATCTTTTTACTTAACCTAATAAATTTAGGGGGGTTATTCATTGGTGTAATTTGGGGGATAATGAGATAATTTTTGGAACATTAATTTTTGGTGTTATTCATTGGGGTAATTGGAACTGGAGTCAACTTTGTGGTGTTATTGGTTTGTTGGGGGTAATTGGGGGACAAATACTCCACTTTCCCCTAAATTACACCAACTATATAAAGATCTCCTCCACCCCTTCCTCATAATTACCCCAAATTTATCTCATCCTCCATATTGGAACAATGTTGTTCCACTTTGAAGGCAATTGGGATAATTTTAAAATATTTTTGTATTACTTAACTAATACATGCTAATTATATTACAAATATATGATATGATATATAAAATATAATATATATTAATATTTTAATAACACAATTTAATAACATATATTAATAATATTATATAATAGTAATTATAGTATAACGTATTTATTATAATATCATATAATATTTTAATAACATATATTAAAATTTTAATAACATATATTAATAATATTATATAATAACATATATTAATATTTTAATAACATATAT